AAGAAAAACAACATAAAGGAAAAAAAAATGAAAACCAAAACAGATAAGCAAACTAAGAACAGGAGAGCAATAAGACAAAAACACCCAAAGAAAACCAGCCAAAAATAAATAAATAAATAAATAAACTAAAATAAAAATACAACTCATGGAGTATGTTTTATGTTGGCCAGTTACTCTTTGGAATGAGGCCTGACCTGGAGTTTGATTGATTCTCCCAATTTTGCTCTTTTGGAGAAAATTGATTTTTCTTCTTTTCATCTGATATCAATTGCAAGTAACTTTTTTGTTAGGGATAGGACTCTGTGTTCCCTTCTCAGTGCTGAGATTTTTGTCTGGTTTAAACCTGTGTAGGACTTGTGAATGCTGTCAAAGTCTCTGTGAGTTGATATATATATCAGTCCACTTATATCCTAAAGATGCTGTTTCCTTGGAATTACCTACCACCTATACCTCTTACCATTTTTTTAAGATCCACTACTATGTAGATATTTTTCATTATTTCTCTAAATGTGATTTAACATTTAGAAAGAAAAAAAGCAAACACAAGCTGTATAAAGAATAACTGACTGATTATCATTTTGCTTACTAGATTTATGGAAGAACAGAAAATGTGGAATCCACTGTCTATTCTGGTCTTGAAGACTTAAACTCACCTGATCAAGAGTCACGTTTTTTTGCCATTTGTAAATTTTCTTATTGCTTACGTAGAGATATGCACACAGTTGACATTTGTCTCCAGCTCTTGAGGTGTGTGGTACTTGTTAATAATGATTGCCGATCCATCAAAATTGAAGATACTTCATGATACTGCATCTTTTAAGATAATCTTAATTTTATACATCGGGAAGCTATATTTGAATACAATGGGTGTTTTAAAAAATAAATGCCGAAGTTTAAAAAAAAATGAGTGTCTTTTGTTTATTTATTTAAATATATTAAGAGCTTTAAGATGTTTGAGGAACAAATGGGATAATCTGCAATTTATTTTAAAATCACAGTAAATTAATATTATGTTAATATAGTTATTAGAATCAGAGTGGACCAATTGTAGCTTTTCCTAGAACCCATATGCTAGGAATCATTTTTACTATCTTTAATCTAGATCTTATTCAACAGGGGTATAAGGGATGGGCCTGGTTTAGAACTGCTTGGTTATGTTGTATGTTACTTGTTCTCAGTCAGTCAGTTTTGGAGAAAATAGATAAGGCCTCAGTCAAGCAAAGGGCAATTGGAAAGTATATCTCTGCCATTTGAACACATTTGTATTCATTTAGTCTTTTTATTTGTGTGCTTTTCAATCATTTTCTCTTTTTAATGATGTACTGATCTTCCAATTTCTTACTATTCAAAGCAGAACATATTAAGAAAATATTTAATAACAGTCCTTAAATAACATAGAAAAGGTATTTTATTCATTTCTTTTAAATTCAAAGCAAGCTTACAAACATGACCAATTGCTGGCATTATTCTACTTAAAAATTCTTGTTAACTAAAAGCAGGATAACTAGCATGTTTGTTTATCTTTTTAGAAATAAAATGATTATTGATATAATGCTAGTTCTCAATTTTTGATCATTCTCTACTCAAGACTGATAACCTTTAACTTCCTTCACTTCCTATTAAATTATTAAAACTTTAACAAATTATTTGATTATTTTTAATTTTTTTTATTCACTTTAGATCCTGGTTGCAGTGCATCCCTCCGCCCCTCCCAGTCCTACACTCCATTTCTCTTCCTTCCCCTCCGAAAAGGGGAGCTCCCTTTCCTATGTACCCCAGCTCATCAAGTTGCTTAAAAATGAGACATAACTGAAATTGAAGTTTTCAGAGAAGAGTCTTAAGCATTATATAGATATAGCAAAGAGTACTGAGAAAGGATATTTCAGAAGAACATAACAGCTTTCTTCTCCAATGAGAGTGTGCATACGTTTCTTTGATTAGCTTCAATAACATTTGAAAAATGTGGTTACGATATTAGGAAAATATTAGCCTTGGCATCAAAAGATAAAGAGTGAAACACTAGAAATCAATTGAACAGGCTATTACACATGATGGGCACTACACAAATGAAGCAATAGTTTCAAAATGGCTGGCTGATAGGTATTTCAGCTGAACTTGTCGGGAGAGTGTTACAAACTATGCAAATTACTGCAGTAACTTCAAGGTAGAGGCTAGTGCTAAATGCAGAAGAAACCAGTCAAAAAGCAGTAAAGAAATAACTGTGTGATTTTTTTTCTTCAGAATCAAAAACTATTCAAAATAGGAACACAACATGCTTACATATTTGTCACCATCTTTCTAAAAGATAGGCCTATCCTGGAACTAGAAATATGAATGTTTTTTGAGGCAAGCGTGTGGGTACTAATATTGAACCTAGATCCTCTGCAAAAAGAAATTAATATTCTTAACCACTGGTTCATCTCTCCAACTCTCAAAATAATACTTCTTTTTTTTTTATTGCTTTCATAGAATATATCCTGAATAACATCCTCCTTCCTCTGCTCTTCCCAGTTCCTTTCCTCTTTCCCTCACATCTGGATATATTATTTTTCTTGACATTAGAAAACAAGCAAACATTTAAGAGAAAATAATAAAATATAGTAAGATTAAACAAACAAACAAACAAACAACAAAAACCACTCCAAAATAAAACACAACAAAGAAATAGAAGGGAAAAAGCCCAAGAAAATGCACAAAAACCAGATACAGACACAAAGACACACTAATATGGAAGTCATTTTTAAGCTTTTTTTAAAAAGTAGATACATAAAAAAGTATAATACAATAGAACCATATCTATCACTCTACACATAAATCAAGTCCAAGTGCATCAGAAACTTCAACATAAAACAGGATACACTAAATCTGATAGAAGAGAAAGTGGGTAAATAGCCTTGAGTACATTGGTAAGGAGACAATTTCCTGAACAGGATACCAACAACTCAGATTCTAAGATCAACAATTAATAAATGAGATCTCATGAAACTGAAAATCTCCCTAAGGCAACAAACACATAAAAAGGACAAAACATCATCCTACAGAATGGGAAAAGATCTTCAACAACTCCACATCTGACATAGGGATGACATACAAAATATATCATTATTTCTTTCTTACTACATAATACAGCCTCAGACTGTGAGAAAAATAAATCCTTGTTCCTAAAGGCAGCCCTGCCAGAGGGAAGTGATCATAAAGCAGGCAACAGAGTCCATGTCAATGACTGCTCCTGCTCCCCTACTAGATGGCTCTCATAAAACATGGGCTGCCCATTGGATACATCTGTGTAGGAGGCCTTGGTCCAGTCCATGCATAGTCTTTGGTTGGTGCTTCAACCTCCGCATGACCTTCAGGGCCTCCTCATCAGAGATTCTTTCTATCATGAAAGGTTGGAATTACATATTTAAAAACCTGAAAGCAAATAAATGACAATGAAAACAGATGTATCAAGCAAAAGTATTCTTTGATATTAAAAAGGAAATAGAACACCTTAAAAGAATTGGGGTGGATGCTCTCATCAGTGGTTAGTATTTTCCTGCTTTATGGTTCCTATGCACAGCCCCTAAGTCAACTTACTGTTTTCTGCATTTCTATTTGGTGTTAGCACAAGACTCAGCTAGTGGTTGAGATGCAGCACCAGGAACCCTTAAACAGTTGCATGGCATCTCAGCTCATTTTTTCGGCATTGAGATTTGTCTACATTCTTCAAGATCCAATTTAAATTCCTTACTGACTAAATTGTTGTGCATTCTAGATTGCATCTATCTATATTCTGCCTGTCAAAGGAAGCGAGCTGTGAAAGCTTAGTTTTCTTTGAGGCAGCCTCTGGTTGGCTTCGTCACTGTTCATGACTCTGCATGGAAATATGATGACATTCCAGCTGTAGAAGAAGTTGATCTATTAAACAATAAAGACTTCCACTAAAAAAAAGCTTAAACTAAAAATTCACGACCAGTAAGCTGGCATTGCAGAAGGCATTTTACAAAAGCCTTAAAATAAGCAGGAAGAAACATAGTCGCTACATCTCTACCCAGGAAAAAATAAATTTCATGTGAAGAACAGATAAACACGGGAGAACTAAGAAATAATCAGTCATGCTCAACAAATAAACCAACAAATCTGTAATGTGAAAATCTAAAAAAAAATGAGTAAACAAACAGTAATCTCACCTAATAGAAAATCAACCAAATTACAGAAAGTAGCAAGTCTCAATCAATAACAACCATAAATGATCTTAACTCTTCAATAAAAGATACAGGGTAGCTTGTTGGATGGATAAAGAGAAACCAAATACTATTGCTTCAGAAACACATACTACACTGAAAAAAAAAATCTCATTTTAAGCCATAAAGTAAAGCTTAAATGCAAAAGATAAAAATAATCTATGTTAGAGTATTAAACATTCCATTCTATAGAACTAGAATTCATTTCCAAGAGAGTCAAAAATACTATGAAAATATTCAGAGACAGAATATAAAAGGAGTTCATTGAATTAACTAAGAAAAACAACTTTAAATATAAGTTCCAATATAGCTAAAAACATCATTTATCAGAACCTTCAAGAGATGTAGAGATGTGGTCAGTATATACATAAGAATGTATATATTAATAATTTGAGATAGCTTCTTTGCTGGGAATAGGTATTCATCTCTAATTCCTCATCTTAGGGCTGGTATTCCATGTGGTTTGGATCTGTACATTCTCTGCATCTGGTAATAGTTCTGGACTGAGTATTCCAAGGTCTCTCACTTGCTGCAAACTGTTCAGTTGTGGTTCTCTGCATTGATTCTCATGTACTGCAGGAGAAAACTTCCCTGATGAAGGCTGAGTGAGAGAACAATTCTATAGGTATAGCAGTTGTTATAATGACTTGTTTGAAGTCATTTTATTGATTGCTATGATCCTTTAGCAGAACAATAGTGTTTGATTCTCCCCTGGATCCATGGTCCATTAAATATCATGGACCATGGACACAAGCAGTGTCCTGCAGGTCCCTCATTCCCATGTATTTCTGTCTGCTGCCTCTACCTAGAAATGTGAATATATATATATACATGAGTGTATATATATATACACTCATTCCAACGAGGGCTATTTTCATCAAAGCCCTCTCCTTGGGGGTCAGGGAGCTGTGTGGAAGAGGAGGCAGAAAGATTGTAAGAGAAAGAGTGGAGGATGACACGTAGAAAATCATATCCTCCAGACATAATAGAACTGATAGATATAAAGTCATAGAACCTGTTGCAGTATGCAAAGGGCTTACCATATTCAAGACAGACAAGCTTCCACCACTGTAAGGGGAAAGCAGTCATGACTTCCACCCATAAACAAGAAACTTTCTTCATCGGACATCCAGTTGCAAAGAAAAATTAGTCTTCTCTAGTGGAGTCTGGGTATATTAACTACACTTACAGAAAAGCCCATGTCTAACAATAGATGGCTACACAAAATGAACTCATAGTACTTTTGTAAACATGTCCAATACTTCTTTGTTGAGGTATTTTTTTTACCTTATCGGTCTTTTGTTTGTATATTTTAGTTTCCAGTTTTGCAGTTTTATATTGTGTGTGTATGAGTGTGTCACTGTGTGTGTATGTATTTCTTGTGCTTTTCTCTTGTCTTTTTGGTTTGACTATTTTCTAAAAAGGGAAATAAAGAAAGAGAGTTGGGTGAGAATTTAAAGGGAGTTGGGTCATAGGAAATCATGATTTAGAAACATTGCACAAAATTATTTTTAATAAAAAATTAAGAGGACATTAATTAAAAGGACAATTATTCTAATTTACTTAACTAGTCAATATTTTA